AGGTTCTGAATATGCTGAGAATTCCATAAAAAAGAAATGACTAAGTAAAAAATGAATTTGTTAGCTAAAAAGAGAATCATGCATAAAGAATAAGTCTTAGTCAAAATTGACATAATTTATCTAAATAAACGCTTACCATTGTAGGATCTGCATTAAGGAATGTTTCCCTGCTATTGAATTCCTCTTCGACATTAGTGTGTGAACTGCAAATTCAGCAAATAACTGAAACATGTGATTTAGTCAATCAATACGCATCAAAATTCTAAATTTATTGAAGTAGATTGAAAATTAAAGATCGAACTATAAAATTACATTACTCCCTTGCTCTTTTTTATGATTTTGGTTTCCCTTTTTGATTTTTGCGAAGAGCTTCTTTTAACCTTCTAACAAATTTCTAAACCACCATTCATTCTCAAAGAACGAGGACGTCCTTTAGTAGCCACACATGGAGGGTCAAGTAAACTAAAATTTTCCCTTTGTTCACTTGAGTTCAAATCCAGATTTGACTCGTTAACTTGACCATCACATACATTATCATTCACATCCTCGTATGGAAGTTCATAAAGTTCTTTACATAGTTGCAACAATATTTGATATGTAAATTTATAATGCTTTTCTAAACAATCTATAACTTATCTATTTGTATATCATTTGCCCTATCTGGATTAGTTTCTCACATGTTACCTAATGTCATAGAATGCTTGCTTGTAAGTGTTATCCGCTTCAGAGAACCCTTGTTTATTGCTATATGTTTTCATCGGACCTTTTCCCTAAATGTTATTTATTGCACTGGTTACTTTTCACATGTCACTTTTTCACATTGTGTGGGTACTGCAGGCTAATTGATCATATGATATGGGTAAAATTAGTGCTCATGGGTTTTATATGAATCACATCACTTGTTTACATGTCAGATGCATCATAAACTATTTCTATATATATTACATGTCTCGTAGCCTACTTGCTTAAACATTATAGGCCTTATAGCTTTTCTGACCATATCATGTACTCACTTGCTCATACTTCATATATGTACTTATTGACATGTTAGTCCACCTATCCATGCGATATAACACACTTGCTCAATGTGATTTATGTTCCGTAGTTCATTTTCTTATATGTCTACATGTCTTATAGTCTACTTGCTTGCATATTATATATTTTGTAGCTTTAGTACTCATGCATCATGTGCTCATCTAGTCCATTTGCTACATGCTCATATGTTATGCACTCCTTTTTGTGCTAGTCTGCCAATGTGGCATACCCAATGTGACTTATTTATCTGTATACTATGCCCATCTGTGCTTATTGACTTGAGTTTTGAACATTTTGGGAAAACTTTTCCTTGTATCATTATGTAGTGAAGATTTTGACATAAAAGGTTAGGCATATATGTAAATTTTATCACAACCATAGATAAATAACTAAGCATAATGCCTTATCCAAAGGTGCGACATACAATTTTAGAGTTTATATTAACAGGCATGGGCTCTTATAAGACTTACATCTAAAAGGCTTCATAAGATAAAAGAGAAGGGAAAGTGGAGCCCCGATAGGTTAGGTCTATGATTTTATCTATCGTTTGCATATAATTTTTTTGGGCAGTAGTATAGTTATTCTTGATTGTTAAGGCCCGGAAGCTAAGCACAAAAGGTGTAACCTCCATTGAAGTATTGTGGAAGGACTAGAATATAACATAAGATACTTGGGAATAGAAGATGGTAGAGATCCTAAATACCCCTCCTCATTTTAAACATCAACATAAGGATCTGAGATCATGTGGTCCCCATATATGATCATAAGTCCTACTAGAATTTGTTCATTTGATATGTCATTTTCATGTCTTGTGTTTAGGTATATTAAATTTCTTATTTGTATCAGTTCTACTTGGGTATCTTCAGTGAATTATTTGGTCAAGAAAGGGGTTTAATTTGTCATATTTTTATTTCATGAACCATATCTATTAAGAGATCATGCAAGAATTGTCTATACGTGTTTTATGTTAGTCTATAGATTTTGGATAGTCCCATTTACAAAGAAAGCTCTCACAAATATCCAAATGAAATTCCAAGATTAACCCAACTATCAACTAAACCTATCACTCAAGGATGAATGATCAAAAGGGGGGAGGATGTACCACCCCGTATTCTATGTGTACCCGTTTTATGTCACGACTCAGATCTGATTAAGACGAACAGGCACCCGATGTCTAAATGGCCCGGGAGAACCAACTTACAACCTGTACTTACCATACATTTAACTATGATAACTATGAAGCTATGACAAGCTTATATGCCCTGTAGTGATAAAAGACCGACATAGACAGGCCCAAAACTTATGTACAACACTTGGCCGTGGAGGCCACAATTGTTAAGAGACAAGACACAACTAAACTTTATACATTAGTCTACAAAGCCTCTACAAGATAGACCACCTTAGTTTAGGTCAGGACAAGGCCCCGCCTTACCCTTAACTAGTATACGGTAACAAAATAGATGCCAAAGACTTGATTAAGCCCCGAATCAACTTGGAGCTCACCAATAGCAGCTGAGTGTCCTGTGCTCCAACTGGGGAGGTCTACTAGCTGGAGTACCTGTGGCTACAACATGAAATGCAGCGTCCCCCGAGAGGGATGTCAGTACGAAGAATGTATTGAATATGTAAGGCAATAACATATGTAAACAAGAGCTCAATTGAAATCAAGTATCAATATGTAACTGCATAGATTAGATTAAAGACCACCCTTGTTGCTATTGTGGGATCATGTACATTATATTCTTTTCTGTAAATTTTCTTTACATTGCGATCTCTGTAAAACATGTGATACAAATAACAAACTGATCAGTGGTAAAAGAGGATGACCCATGCTAGGCATTTTAACCCCTGAGATGCTGTCCTCAAATATATAAATTTGGGATCGACCCATGCTAGGCTTTCGCCCCTAGGCTGCCACCCTTATACACAAATTGGGATCAACCCATGCTAGGCTTTTGTCCCTGGGCTGCCACCCTTACACATATACTGCTTCATATAAGTTTCTTTAATCTTTGAGATTGTTATTTTGGTGGTCATAATTATTTTTGAGCATCAGACCTGTGGATCAGTAGTAGGAAACATGTGAATATGCACTTAGGGCAATAACAATAACACAAGATGGAAATGTAACACTAATGAATTACATAAGAGCTCAAATGACACAATGGACCTCATTTGATTGACAGGAGGAATCACAAAGCTACTGCTGATATTACCCTTTTCTCATACCAATACTTGGAAAAGTAAAGATGCACATATATTGAAGCAATTCGACACACTAAGGAGAGGAGAACTATTGTTAGCTGTGTTTGGGATTGTACGCTGCCACTATGTGTCTTTTACTTGAAAGAGCACTTAGGAAGCTCACTTGTTGGTAGTGACACAAGCAGAGTTCATGCCAAATAATATGGAATCGAATAGCCTTACATACCTTGCTGTACCACTCAGATAGTACAACGAATTAACCTCCTTCCTTTCCGATTATTAATCTACAATGAAATAAGTAACACAACTAATATTAGTAGCTAACCAACAGATTGGGTTACTTAAACTTGGCAAACAGTAATCAGGCAGCAAACCCATACTTATCAAACCGATGGTATGCATTACACCCCTTCTCCTTTAATAACGTCATATACAATACGACCTTCTAATAAGGTCCCCTGAAACTCCTCGGGCTTTATAACATATGCGAAACAGTATATAAAGGGGTTGTAGGTAGCAAGCTCATGCAACGCCCAACTAGATGGTACGTTACTGCACCCTTTATCGTTTTATCCTTTAACAAGTTCTCATGACTTCTGCACATGCCTCCTTATGTTACTATACACAAATCAGTTTCTAAACATCAGAATGTGGCAGTAGCAATATGAACTCACGGTTTCCGACCACTGTCCCTTGAGCATCCAACTAACATTACATTTAAAATGCTCAAATGGGCTAACAATTGAGTTAAAGGGGACTCCCCTCCATGGCTGTCCCAACATGCACAATCAACCAGAACATTCCCCAATCTCACACCATGTAAAAGGAACAATTCTCAGCTTATTAACACATACCAAATCCCCTAACCGATTCAAGCACAAAAGAGGGATGAAAAAATTAACATATGGCAATAGCCTTACCTTAAGGTGAAATCAATTCCTCCTCTTGAATTTCTTATGATGGGAGATGTTACACCAACTTGTACTTGAAAAATAAAGGGTTTTCTCAGATTTTTAATGGTGAACTTGCAGGCCAGCACTTTGGAACTTCTAGGGTTTCTTTTTGGGAGTAAATTGCTGTAGAACAAGTGAGAGATATATGAAATGAATTTCATTCTCTTAAGGGTCCTTTATGGACGTTTTTACATTAAGAAAAATGTAGAAATATCTAGTCCCTCACTTTAAGTAAGCAGGTACATCACTCCCTTAATTTCTGCCACAAGTTCTTTAAGTAGCTGCATCACCTAGTTGCCCTTTTCTTTTAAATTGCAGTCCACATATTCCCTAAGTAGGTGCATCACCTAGTTTCCCTTTTCTTTTAAATTGCAGTCCACATATTCCCTAAGTAGGTGCATCACCTACTTACCACTTATTTAAGTAGGTCAGCAGTTAATCTACCATTAAGAGCCTATGTCATCCTTTCTACGTAAGCTACACATGTACGTGAGTAACTTAATTACGTAAGATATCCGAATCAATAGCTTAAGCAAGTAGGTTGATTACTATGACAAATTATACTTTACTTACTCTATTTAGCCTCAAGCCTCTTTCGAATATTGTCAAACCTATTTCAAACCCTCATTACTCACATAGAACTAGTATATGCAAAATATGGGATGTTACATCCTCCCCTCCTTAGGAACATTCGTCCTCGAATGTTTGCCTAATTATTCAGCTCCAATCAAGTTCAATCAAGCTCAATCAAGCCTATGTTGAATTCTACTGTTAGCCACATAATACGCACAGACTTATACTTACTTGTTAGTGTCTCAGCTCAGGACTTTGACCCTTCTCCTCGGATTGAAATAAATGAGGATATTTGGACTTCATTTCTTCTTCCGCCTCCCATGTAACTTCTTCAACTTGTTGGTTTATCCATAGTACTTTTACAGAAGCTACTTCTTTATTTCTTAGTTTCTTAACTTGTCGATCCAAAATTGCGATGGGTACTTCTTCGTAAGTGAGATCTTCTGTAACGTGTACATCTTCTGTAGGAGTGATACGAGATGGGTCGCCTATACATTTTTGAAGCATTGAGACATAAAATACTGGATGGACTGTTGAGAGCTCTTGAGGTAGCTCTAACTCATACGCGACTTGACCAACTCTTCGAATAGTTTTATATGGCCCTGTATAGCGCGGACTCAGCTTCCTCTTTTTACCAAATCTCATTACCCCTTTCATTGGGGATACCTTCAAAAATACCCAATATCCTATGAAAAATTCCAGTCCTCTCCTTCTATTATCTGCATATGATTTATGTCGGCTTTGAGCTGTTGCTATTCGTTGTTGTATCACCTTAACTTTTTCCATAGCTTGATGAACAAGATCTGGCCCAAATGAGGCAGTTTCGCCCGCTTCAAACCATCCGATCGGTGACCTGCACTTTCTCCCATATAACGCTTCATAAGGTGCCATTCTGATACTTGAATGATAGCTGTTATTGTAAGCAAACTCAATAAGCGGCAAATGATCATCCCAACTACCTTCGAAGTCTAATATACAAGCTCGCAACATATCCTCAAGTGTTTGGCTTGTACGTTCTGCCTGACCATCCGTTTGAGGGTGAAAGGCTGTGCTTAAATTCACTTGCGTTCCCAAACTCTTCTGAAATGACTTCCAAGAGTTCGCGGTGAATTGAGCTCCTCTATCAGATATAATAGAGATTGGCACTCCATGTAGCCGAACTATCTCTTTAATATACAACTTTGCATACTCTTCAACTGTATAAGTAGTCTTGACCGGTAAGAAGTGCGCTGCTTTGGTGAGTCTATCAACTATCACCCATATGGAATCAAACTTCCGAAATGAGCGAGGAAAACCAGTGACAAAATCCATATTAATCATATCCCACTTCCAAATTGGAAGTTCTATACGCTGCATATAACCTCCAGGCTTCTGGTGCTCTACTTTAACTTGTTGACAATTTGGACATTGAGCTACAAATTCTGCAATGCTCTTCTTCATGTTACCCCACCAATATACTTTTTTCAAGTCATGATACATTTTTGTTGATCCCGGATGGACAGAATATCTTGACTGATGTGCTTCCGTCATAATCCTCCTTCTTAGTCCATCTATGTTAGGTACACACAATCTGTTTTGGCATTGAAGTACTCCCTCTTCTGTAAGCTCAAATGCCTTTGTCATACCTTGTTGTACATTCTCCTTAAGCTGTAATAGGATAGGATCCGTGTACTGCTTCTCTTTCACCTCCGCTACAAATGATGATTCTGCAGCATTTTGCACAATAACTCCTTCATCTGGAGATTCAAGAAGGCGAACCCCCAAGCTAGCTAATTGATGTAGATCTTAAGTTATTTGCTGCCTTCCTATGGACTGCTCATAAGTGCTTTCCATCATTTTACGACTTAAAGCATCAGCTACAACATTTGCCTTCCCGGGATGATACAAGATATCAATGTCATAATCTTTTAATAACTCAAGCCACCTTCGTTGCCTCAAATTCAGATCCTTTTGCTTAAATATGTATTGCAAACTCTTGTGATCAGTATATATATCAACGTGAACACCATACAAGTAGTGGCGCCATATCTTCAAAGCAAACACAACTGCTGCTAGCTCTAGATCATGGGTTGGATAGTTTTTCTCATGTGACCGCAACTGCCTTGAGGCATAAGCTATCACCTTACCATGCTGCATCAACACACATCCTAAGCCCACTCCCGATGCATCACAATACACTACGTGCCCTTCCATGCCTTCTGGAAGTACCAATATAGGTGTAGAAGTCAATTTATTCTTCAGTTCTTGGAAGCTTCTTTCACATGCATCACTCCACTGGAACTTGACTTCTTTTTGTGTTAGTTTTGTTAATGGTGCAGAAATAGAAGCAAATCCTTCAACAAACTTTCTATAATAACCTGCCAGCCCAAGGAAACTACGAACCTCCGTAGGTGTTGTAGGTCTTGGCCAGTTCTTCACAACTTTTATCTTTTGAGTATCAACCCTTACTCCTTCATCAGATACAATATGACCCAAAAATGCCACAGATCTTAACCAAAACTCACATTTAGAGAACTTTGCGTACAACTTTCGATCACGAAGAATCTGTAGCACCTGCCGCAAATGATTAACATGGTCCTCTTCAGATCTTGAATACACCATAATGTCATCTATAAATACTATCACGAACACATCAAAAAATGGCTTGAACACCCTATTCATCAAATCCATAAAAGCTGCAGGTGCATTTGTTAGCCCGAATGACATAACTAAAAACTCGAAATGACCATACCGTGTTCGAAAAGACGTCTCGGGTATATCTTGATCTCTGACCCTCACTTGGTGATAACCCGACCTCAAGTCAATTTTTGAAAAGCACTTAGCACCCTGTAACTGATCAAACAAATCATCAATTCTTGGGAGGGGATATTTGTTCTTAATTGTTACCTTATTCAACTGTCGGTAATCAATACACATTCTCAATGAGCCATCTTTCTTGTGTACAAATAAAACTGGTGCTCCCCAAGGGGACATACTAGGCCTTATAAATCCTTTTTCTAACAAATCATTTAATTGTTCCTTCAACTCCCGTAATTCTGCTGGGGCCATTCTATATGGAGGAATGGAGATAGGTTGAATATCTGGAATTATATCAATACCAAACTCTACTTCTCGTTCTGGAGGCAAACCTGGAAGATCTTCAGGAAATACATCAGGAAATTCATTTACCAACGGAACAGATTGAAGAGTTGGTGGATCTGCATCTATATTTCTTACTCTTACTAAATGGCATATGTAGCCTTTGGACATCATCTTCTTCGCCTTAAAATAAGAAATAAACTTACCTCTTGGCGCCTGTTGACACCCAATTTTGACCGACCTTTAGCAATTTTGGGAATGCTATTCGATTAAATACGTATTTTTTTTAAAAAAAAATTATATTTTGAGTTCAAGATTTTAGTCAATTTTGTCTAAAAATTATATTTTAGTAAGCTTGATTTATAAAAATTTATTGTAATTATTAATTAAATTATTTTATTTATTATATTTATTGATAGTTTAACTCGAAATAATTACTTTATTTAAATGTTTTAAAATTTTATGGGATTTTAATTATATAAAAAATAAAATAAAAAATATAACGTGTAGTATGTTAATTGGATAGCATTTTCTTAAATTTGCTCTGAATCATTTAAAGCTTAGCCTAATCTATTCCAATTTCTCTAATACGTAGCCACTCTTGCTATTGCAATTCATTTCGATTTTAGCCTATTATCCTAATCTAGTTGCAATTCTAGCCCTTTTGTCCATTGCAATTATACCCAATTCACTTCAATTTAATCTATTCAACCCAACCTCATCTTTTAATCACAGCCGTTGATATCATCCTTTAAATCCCGGCCCCTCATCTTAACATGAATCAACGGTTTGGATTAAATCCCCCAAAACCTTCCATTTTAACCTAGAAAGACCAAGCCCTCAAAACTTCATTCTCTTCTTTTCCCCTCTCTCTAAGACGCCTATCCCTTTTCTCCTTCCCTTTCGTTCTCTCCATTCTTTCCGGCGAAACAGCCGCTGGCCTCCATCGTTTTTCTGTTCGTCTTCTCCTTTCTCTCCTCCCTTCTGCTTCTCCGTCTCCCTTTTTCTTCTCGTCTGACCAGCAGCCACGCGAGGCCACCAGCGAACAGATCTGGCCGACGAGGACAGCCACCAGCAACTCCAGCAAGCCTCCGTCGCTGGCAGCAGCTCCAGTCAGCACAAACAACAGTCAGCTCTGAGCAGCAACAGCAACAGCAACCACTGGACAGCAGCTCCGACGACCAGCAAACAGCAACAACCAGCGACGCCGGCGAAAGCCTGGGCAGCGCTGCCCACTCTCCTTTTCGGCACAACAGGCTCCACCAAATTCAGGCGACCTCCGACAGCAGCTTCGGCGGAGCAGAGCCAGCCATTAGCGAGTTCCGAGGCGGCAACGATCGACGACAACTGCGGCGAAGGTCAGAAACTCCGGCCAACAGTTGTTGGTAATGTATATCAGTCCATTATTTTAGTTGTAAAAACAGATTTGTCCAGGTACGTCCCTCTAAATATTCATTTCGTGTTTTTGTCAGTCTTGCATAAGGTAAAGCTTGGCAAATCTTTGGTTACTACATGTTCATATCTTTTCTGTCAAATTTTATTTATTTTTTTAGTTTGAGAACTTTGTTATATATTTGCTTAAGGTTGATTAATGTTATTTTGTTGTTCGTATGATTGACTGATCATTGCTCTCTATTTATGATAAATTCTGCTTCTCATTCGAATCATGATAAATTAATTGGTTAATTGTATGCTCGATTTCAGAAATTAGTTGAAATAATTAGATGATTAACGTAATTATGGGTAAATTGATTGTTAAATTTTTTAGGGAGTATGATTGGATTTTGTTTGCTTATGGTAAATGTCAGCATGATTAATTGATTGTCATTATTAAATTAAGGTTGGACAGATTTCTTATTTTGTTATATTTGGTAAGAAAGATTAATTAAATGTTGGGCTGATTTACTCTCTCCGTTTAAGAAATTTTAGTGCCGTAAATTGATTCTCCCTTTCCTTAAAATATATATATATATATATATATAATTATTTAATTTCCTTGTGGCTAATTGTGTATAATCTAACATTAATTTTTTTTCTTAATTATTGTAAACCGATTTCTTACTTGTTTTTTTATTTGGTAAAAAAAATATAATTTTTGTGAAACTTTGACTCTCCTTTGAAATAAGGAAAATGTTATATTAATTGATTCCTAAAATATATCCTTTCCTTCTAAACCATGCCTCTCCTCCACTATAAAGAGGACTTCCCTTTCATCACAGATCTTGGCTTTTGCTCACACTTGAACACTTTAGAAAATATCGATTACTCTCTCTACACTTAAAAAAGAAAAGAAGAATCCTTGCAAACGAAAAGGCTCTCTTTGCTGTGTTGCTGTTTGGGTGGGGAACTTTGCTTAGTACTTCATTGCTGATTTATTAAACTGCATAATAGGTTAGTGCTCTCTGCATATATTATACTTTCAATTTTGCATCAAAGTTTATTAGTTTTTTTTAATACATGAGTCCATAATGGATGAACAAATTAAAAGGGAGCATCCAAATGAGTTCTCTTTGTCCCTCTCTTATTTGTGATGGTACTTCGTATGGATGGGTGTTTGTTTGTTCGAATGTTGTGTGCGCCCTCTGAACTATATGTGTGGTCGACTATTTTATTTTGCAAGTCCATTCTTATATATATTTAGCTACATCTGTCTTTGCTTTAGCAGGGTTCTGACCTTAAAGTTCAAGATATGAAGAGTTGCCATGAGACGAGATTATTTAATTTATGTATTTTGAATTTGTATTTATTATTTATCTCGGTTTGTAATATTTATATAAACTCCTAACTCTAACTCTATATATAAAGAAACTTGGGGATCGCTTAAGGGGAGGGGGATGTATGTGCTAACTGTTTATTTATTTATTTTGCTCATGTGTGATTGTTATAACCTGTCTATCACATTAATCGTAGAATTGTGCAAATGTGTTATAATAATTTAAATAAGTGGTTTAAAATTAACCTTTATTTACAGCTTTATCTAATCAAGCAATTTAGTGTAAATATATGCCATAATTTGTTGTGATCTTGACCTTTAGAATCTCGCCTTGCATGCCAATGTTGTTAAAATGTGGGAAATTGACTGATAAATTATTAGACATCATGCCTTAGGTTCTTTTCTTGAATCTTATTATAATTTTAGCATGTCTAAAATTGAATAACATGTTATAGATTCCTCCTGTTCATTATTTAATAATTTATGCATCATGATTGCTCATTTTCTGCCATTTAAGATAATTAAGTACTTCGGCCGGATTACAACCAATTAAAATTAATCTGCGTAATTAGTTATTGCTTTGTTATCGATAAATTTTCTTGCGTGTCTATCATTTAGAAATCATGTTTATAGGTTATTAAATTGTCAACATGTCACTAAAAGCTGGAATTGTAATTCAAATGTTAGGATCTTAATAAATTAAGCTTTAATGATATATCTGTTGCAATTTTGACATGTTTAGGAATCAGAATAAATAACTCCAGCATGTTTACATTTATAAACCATGCCCTTGGGTTTCTGAATATTATATCTTAAGAGAAATTATGTATAAAGTTTTTGATAATTTGCGCACTTAGATACCATGCCTATAGGAGCTATAATAATTTCAATCTTTCAAACACTTAGAAATCATGTCTATAGGGAAACTTCTCTCCATGTTATTAAGACTAAGACATTTGCTTGTTAAAATTATATTCTAATAACTCCCCGTATGTTTATAATTGAGATAAGAATTCTATGCATAGTCTCTGCCAGTAATTTATTTAGCTGTAACTGCCCTAACATGCTATAACAAAATAAAATGACTTACTTGCATATTTTCTAACTAATTTGCCCATATTAAATTCTGTCCAAATAATTATTTCTGCATTTTTTGAACTGCCACTTACATTAATTTCTGCACTAATAACACCATGTGTTACTATTAAGAATAAAAATAAAATGAAATACATATCTTCTCCTTTTGTTACTTGTCTTCCCAATTAAAATCGGCTACTGATTATACTCTGCAACTACTAAGCTGTTGTAAATAAAATAAATTTAAGCATTAATAATCTGTTACTATTTCTAAATATTTTGCCCATTTGCATTATTGTAAAGTGCCTCATTTTTAAGTTAATTATTTACTGAGTCAATCTAATAAGCTCCTCATCACTTGTAATATTTTCTGCCTTTTAAAGTTAATTAAATGTTATATTGAATGTTTGCTTGTTTATGCACACATTTTACATGCGACCTTTTCACTCTTATTTGTGTTTGCTAGCATATTTAATAAAATTTAGAGGCCAATATGAGACCCTACGTGCTAAATGTTCGTCCAAACTTGTTTGACTTGGTGTCTAGGTGGGCCTATTAGGATTTTATCTTTGTCTAACTTCACCCTAATAGTAGTCCAATACCTCTTGGACCTTATGTGGGTACGCTAGACATCTTTTAGAGACAAAAGCATGCGGTGGTGGGGTAGGGGTAGCCTAGGCCCTATGGATATGATGACATCGACTCGGTCTAAATGACAAACCTTGGTTTTGTCTGTCCCTACGAGAAGCCGACCGAAATAAAGAAAAGTCGAGTGCTGATTCTAAAGTTCTTCAGAGTCTCCCTTTCCTTTTGTCCCTTTATTTGTTTATAATTATATTTATTTGGGGTAGTTTAATAAAATAAAATTATTTGCTCATCTATTTGTGTAATTTCTATCTCCTTGCTCATCTCTTTACTTATTGTATAATATTTTTTTATTATATTATCACTTAGTTTTGCATGTTTAACCAATTAATTAAAATAATTAAAGTGCCCTTAATTGCTTAATGTTGTTATCACCTAGTTTTCGCATGCTTAATTAATTAAATAAATGATTAAAATGGCTCTAATTGTTTAATATTATTTATCACTTAGTAACCATGCTAATTAAATAAATAACAAATGAAGTGACCTTAAATGCTACTTGTAACCCCCACATATTGCATGAGATACGGTCGGAACCCACATTTGTGGACTTCGAGGGATGCCTAACACCTTCCCCTCGAGGTAACTTGAACCCTTACCCTGATCTCTGGTTCGTAGACCTTAGTTAGAATTAGCTAGGCTAGATAGGTGCCCTAACGCGCCTTAATTCGTTAGGTGGCGACTCTTCAATCACCCAAAGCCCAAAAGAGTTGTTAGGTCGTGCACCAGAACCCGTTTT